AATACTACTGCCACACAGTGTACCCCATAACACTGCTCTACCTGAACACTATTATCACACTGTGCACCCCAATAACTCTACTCTATAGTAACATTACTTCCACCTTGTGTACCCCATAACACGGCTCTACCTGAACACTACACCCACACTGTGCACCCCATAACTCTTCTCTACCTAAATATTACTACCACCCTAAGCTTTCCATAAAACTGCTCTACCTTAAACCTACTCTCACACTGTTCACCCCATAACACTGCTCTACCTGAATACTACTGCCACACAGTGTACCCCATAACACTGCTCTACCTGAACACTACTACCACACTGTGCACCCTGTAACACTGCTCTACCTGAACACTACTCCCACACTGTGAACCCTGTAACACTGCTCTACCTAAACATTACTCCCACACTATGCACCCCATAACATTGCTCTACCCGAACACTACTCCCACACTGTGCTACCCATAATACTGCTCTACCTGAACATTACTGCCCCACTGTGCACCCCACAATACTGCTCTACCTGAACATTACTCCCACACCGTGCACCTCACAATACTGCTCTACCTGAATATTACTCCCTCACTGTGCACCACATAACACTGCTCTATCTGAACATTACTCCCACACTGTGCACGCCATAACACTGATTTACCTGAACATTACTCCCACACTGTGCACCCCATAACACTGCTTTATCTAAACACTACTCCCATACTGTGCACCCCATAACACTGACCTATCTGAACATCATTCCCACACTGTGCACCCCATAATACTGCTCAACCTGAAAATTACTCCCACACGGTGCACCCCATAACACTGCTCTATGTGAACATTACTCCCATACTGTGCACCCTATAATGTTGCTCTACCTGAACACTACTGCCCCACTGTGCACCCCATAATACTGCTCTACCTGAATATTACTCCCACACTGTGCACCCCATAACCCTGTTCTACCTGAACATTACTTCCACACTGTGCACCCCATAACCCTTTTCTACCTGAACATTACTCCCACACTGTGCACCCCATAATACTGCTCTACCTGAA